TGTGAATTCCAATTATTCATATGATTTCACATTCCCACGATGCTTGCTGGTTACATGGGATACAGCTGAGGGCATTAAAAATGCTATATGGCTGTTCGTTCCTCACTGAAACTTTACCGAATGATGCATGGCAAAAACTCTTTCAAGATAACTATTGGAAACTGCGGCTGAATCGAATCAATTGATGATATTTACAGAAATATCGACGCGACTAAAATTGAAAGCACAAAAACAGTGAATGATCGGAGATCGTTGAGTTGTTGAGATGCTCCGTTGAGAGCACTCCTTGACGATCGCGAATCTGAATGATAGGGTTCATCACGGAAATAGAAATCCGTTTGTGGTCTGAACGGCGAGTATTTATCATCGAGACCAGGACCGAGCACAGACATACGATCGTTATACGTTGTGAGCAGGTCGAGTACGACCCCATTCGTCCAACCAAAACCATCCTGAATTTTTCTCATGAATACAATGTTCGCTGCATTGATCAGCCACCGAATATCAATTCAATGAGTTCCATACGGAGGGAGGTTGGTCGAGGCAATGGAACTTTGGATTCAACATGCTATTTCCCTTTGCATGTGCTATCGTTTCGATCAGTAGGCTTTAGTCAATATATCAGTTTCATCAATCAATCCAGATTAAACATTCCGAACGAATCGATACTCACCTGCACTTCGTATTCACCTCCTGCACCTGGTCGAGCATAATGGCCAATTACATTGTACTGAAAAACGAAACTCTATCGAATGAAATTGGTTAACGAGAATATTACTTTCTATCCTTACATCATGATGGTGGTAAATCCGACTATTTAGAGAATCCATGAAAAGTAGTTAGCGAAATCCTAATGAGAGAACATTTAGCAATCTGTGGGTTTTTCCCGGGAATTGAATTTCACTTCTTATGTGTATGGGTGAATAAGAATACCTTTTCCCACANCCTGAAGGTGTTTTGACAAAATAAGCGATGATTGATGGATTAGAGGCGACAGGGAACATTGAGAAGCAAGTAGATAAATTCTTCTGTTGTAATAAATATTTAGTGCTATTCAAAGATGAGACTATACTTTAGTTTGTTGGGTGAATATTTCTATATTCGATGATGAAGCAGTTCACCTGATCTTGCATCTGAGCATTCTCGGATTTGCGAAGACCCTCGATAATCATATGATTGAGTGGACTGAAACCATTCGGGAAATCCCACTGCTCTTCACTGTTTCGATTCAAACTGGTTGGTACACCGCCCGGATACAAGAATACACCCGAATTCTGCAATCCAAACAGCCATGCTAACGAAAGTTGACAACTGATCAAGTGATCGTACTGATAACAATGCGTTTGAAGAGGATCGATCCCAATCAATTACTAACATTCATGAGTTGAAAGACTCGTTCAGAGAGTTGCTGATTGAGCAGATGGTAGCAACCAGTGAAAAGAGGTGCAGCGATTGACGGATAAAATTCGGTGTTATGACTGCGTGTGCGCATATTGTAGTCAAACCAAGCACCTAACGTTTTGTTGTAGAAGACATTATTCATTGCGTCGCGGAATGTTGAACGGTAATCGCGAAATCTAACTGCATTTTGCAGATCACCTATAAAACTCAGTTNTTTTGAAATTTGTTCGGAAATCCAACGATAATAACCATTCAAATTCGATCTTGCTCTTAACTAGCTCTTCTGATATCTTCAATCACATGATTGCCATTCAATAAGTAAAGAACTTACCAACAAGCCCATACAAATACTCCATGATATTCATATTCCAGCACATGAAAGCATTCAAGTCAACAGGCAAGATTCTGGTTGTTTCCACTTGACTCAGCGTCTTTCCATCACTTAACCATCTCGTGCTAAAGTCCCATCCAGATTCTGCTGCACTTGCTAGATCCTGAAGTTCGACTCGTTCTTACCACTCAAAACTTCAGGCCTTTTCGAAATTAGAATTAATTTCTAGTGCATATGTGTATATCAATTCTTCGTCATGAAAGAACATCTTTTATGCTCCTAATGATCGCTGGGATGTGATCATTGCCATACCTGCCATAATTTATGACGGCTTTCTCTGTCTTTACCCCTGGCTGAGATTGTGTCCTCACGATAGGATTCCGGTCGAGGTACATTGCTCGGTGTGCGATACTGATATACCGTGTATTGTCGACGGTCCTTCATTGTAACGTTTACAGTCCTGCATTCATGCAAAACTATCTTAATAACAGCCTTGATATGCTATTGCTAAGACGGCAAAAAAGCAGAAAACGATTTAAGGACTAAAAATTTACGTTTAGTGCTCGGGCAATGCTTATTTTCGCTTGAATTTCATGCAGAATTAAGAGCTTCATCAAAGGAAAAGTAATCGAATGGAAAAAATTTGATTTAGACACACCTCTGCGTTTGCCAAAAATCGAACTCTTTCTCTAATATCGGCAGCATCTGCTTAAGAAAGTCACGATCTTGCGTACTCTCGAAATATTCATAGACCATTCCGGTCAAGAAAGGTGGCTGTGAACGTTGTAAATAGTAGATTCGTCCACCGTTCGGAATGAAGCCATACCTTGAAAACGGAATGCTCAATTCCAGAACATACCAAAATCTACTGCTTAATGCTAATCATTTAAGAAGATTTATTCACTGCGCTTCTGTACACTCAGCAATCTGTTTGGATTTCAAGAAGCAATGTTCAATCAAGAAGGAACACCAAAAACATTTGATAATATTTTGAAGTTTGACAGCTGCATAGTTTGATCATCAGTTTCATATAATGAGTAAAATGAAACAAACTTTTCAACGATATGCGCCAAATTCATAATCATCAATTTGGTTGTATTCAACATATCCGATGCAATCAACCCTTTAGCGATCCAATACGAATCCCAATAATAGAATTCACGAAAACGACCACCGGGCATGATGAACTCATGTGGAACGTAGATCAACGAATAACGCGATTCATATTTCTCGATCTTGGGATCAATCTCAAATGGATATTCATCTCAGACAGGCGCTTACATTCAGAGTTGGGAATGTCATTCCGTGAATCTGGTTTGGCAGGTTCCTTAACAGCTTTTTACCAGTGTTGCCTACTATTTGACGCATCCATTTTGATTCAAACCCTCCGTGATTAGGCATTTGACTAGCAAGTTGCACTTATATATTGCAAAGAGTTTCTTGATTAAGGTAAAAAGCAATGGTAAAAAAGCAGCAATGCCGGGCTCACTCGTTTGCATAGCGATTTCCAGATTTCGTTCAGATCGAGCGCCCAATGTCTGAGGATTGGATCTGTTATTTGCATGATCTTGCGTGGATACGGAACCCAGTCTGATGGAGTGCACGGAATCATCTCACTACCGGGTGGCAAGAAGTAGTCGTCCAGAAATTCAGTCAAGTCTTCTTTCTGAATTTCCTCCACAGACAACTCGCCGAAACGATCGTTAAAAGCGTTGAGGGTATCATCTGAATAACCAAGTTTTCTAGTGATTACAGGCAGATGCTTGCTAGTATATGCAAACAAAGCGTTTGTGTGCATTGTCTTCAATGTGTGTCCTCTTAAGGAAGCTTACAATTATTTTCAGTCAAATCATAAGAGAAGATCATTTTTTCTTACGATGCGTTGTCATCAGTGATACTACAAGTTCATAAGTAGTTACAGTATCTTATGGTTACAGTATCTTATAGAATGGCTACAGTATCTTATGGTTACAGTATCTTATAGAATGGTTACAGTATCTTATCTTAGTGATTCCAGAAAGACACCACAATCACGTTGTTCACTGTGAATGATAGCGTTTACACTAGCAATTTTATTTTTCTGAAATGCTGCATTCATCGTCACTACTTCCTTGGCAGAGAGAGTTCATCCTCATAGTGTGTTACCGTAATCATAGATAAGTTTGATTGAATAGTAGCGTAAAATGGTTGCAGAATCAGCTTACTCG